ACAACTCAGATTCAGTAATAGGAACTTAAACCAGTCTAATGAAGACAGAGTGGGAAAGTTTGAAATCATCTTGCCCGTGAAAAAAGAAGAGGAACATTAAGTCAAAGTAACGTTTCCTGGGCCAGTGAGGTGGTTCAGAGTGAAAACACTAACCCACAAACCTGGGCACCTGGGTTCTACTGCTGTAACCATGGTGGAGGAGAACTGACTCCCCATACGTCGTTCTCCAACCTACACACACACACACACACACACACGCACACGCACACGCACACACGCACACACGCGCGCGCGCGCACACACACACACACACAATTAATAATAATGCTGAAGATTCTGAATGAAAAAGAACGTTTTCTTTGTAAAACTGAAATTCACAAAGAGATCTAGGATCTCGTCACCAGAGGAAAGAGTTCATGGGAACACATTCATATACAATTAATTAAGGCTTTATTCAAAATTTGTGCGGTCGTGCTCGCTTCGGCAGCACATACACTAAAATTGGAACGATACAGAGAAGATTAGCATGGCCCCTGCGCAAGGATGACACGCAAATTCGTGAAGTGTTCCATATTAGAAAAATAAAATCTAAAAAAAAAAAAAAAACTTGGGGCTGTCATACCCATCTGCTTCAATCACTAGCTCTTCTAACAATTAACCTAAAAGCATCTTATTGCCTGGGTCTGTCATCAGAAATGTCTTTGAATTAGTAGGATCGTGTTTTCCTATTGGGAATGGACAGATTGCCTTCTAAAGTGAACTAGATTTATAACAGGAATCGCTCTCTCTTTCTCTCTCTCTCAGCAAATAGAGTTGTGTGAAGCAGGGCTAGTGCTGTCAGGGTCTGTCTGCTTCTCCGTGACTTGGACTTTGCCTCTCTTTCAGGATGTTCTTGAGGAGCGAATTTCCCTGGAGGTTCAACTGGAACAGCTCCGACCGTTCTCTCACCTATAAGCCAATGCCGTTAACTGTGAACATGCCCATTTTTAAGCAGTTTGGGGTTCAGAGCCTATTTGGAAACCCAAACCTTCAGCTCACTGCTTAATTGAACATTCAATTTTATGATTCTGTTTTGCCCTATATGTTCACCATTGTATTTAAGTATCTTTTATTTTTTAATTTCAACAATAAAAGGGTCAGGAGGACTTTTTCTGGAGGATGCATTGTGTTTGTTGGCATGCCTCACACTTCCTGTGCCACAACATCAGAGAGCAGTAATACTGGCCCCTCATAATATGTGGCCACACCATACCGTGATTGGATTTGCAGAGTGGGCTTCTCATCAAGCACAAACTCAAATCTTTGCAAAAGGAAAACGATATCAGACTGTCAACGTCTATGTACAGAATCTGCTCTAGAAAGGCTTTAAGATGAGCTCCCTACTCGGTGTTTGAGTCAAGAGCCTGGTGTGTTTCTCAGAAACGACTTCCCTTTCCCTCCTCAGGGCCTTCGTCAGCATTCTTCAGGAATCCTGTAGAATTTCACCCATGACGTGTGTGTGTGTGTGTGTGTGTGTGTGTGTGTGTGTGTGTGTGTGTGTGCGCGCGCGCGCGCACGTGCGCACGCACACATATTTATGTGGTGTAAGCTTCCGAACTATGAGACAGGTCTTTCTTCCTGGTCCCCTCAAAGTGAAGGAAAGGGATGAAGCCGTTGCGTGAGGACTGGGGAAGCCATTTGAAAACATCACTGCTCTTTGCATGACTGAGGTGCTAACTCTAATCAAAGTAATACATGGGCCAGGATCCTGCTTCAGTTGGTGAATGCTTGTCTTGCAAGGAAGAGGACCTAAGTTTAATTCACAGAAACCAGTTGTTTGAATTTTTTTTTTTTTTTCGAGACAGGGTTTCTCTGTGTAGCTTTGCGCCTTTCCTGGTACTCACTTGGTAGCCCAGGCTGGCCTGGAACTCACAGAGATCCACCTGGCTCTGCCTCCCGAGTGCTGGGATTAAAGGCGTGCGCCACCACCGCCCGGCTGTTTGAATTTTTTAAAGTCAGGCATGATGTTGTGCTTGTAATCCTAGCACTGGGAAGCTAGACAGACAGGTTCCTTGGGTTCTGGGGCCAGTGCAAGACCCAGTCTTTTAAAAAAAAAAAAAATGTAGAATATGCCCGAAGAATGACACCCAGGGCTGTCCTCTGATCCATCATAACAGAATCTGAAGCTTGTTTTATTTATTTGTTTGTTTATTTTTCAAGAGGGTTTTTCTGTGTAACAGCCGTGTCTGTCCTAGATCTCGCTTTGTAGCCCAGGCTGGCCTCGAACTCACAGAGATCCACCTGCCTCTGCCTCCCAAGTGCTGGGATTAAAGGTGTGCGTGACCACTCCCAAGCTGAGAATTGTAATTTTTACACTAATAAGAAAATATAATATGCCGGGCTGTGGTGGTGCATGCCTTTAATCCCAGTACTCGGGAGGCAGAGGCAGGCGGATCTCTGTGAATTCAAGGCCAGCCTGGTCTACAGAGTGAGTTCCAGGAAAGGCGCAAAGCTACACAGAGAAACCCTGTCTCGAAAAAAAAAAAAGAAAGAAAGAAAGAAAATACAATATTTAATTTCTGTATATTTTAGGCATAATTTAAACTTTCAAGAATTGGAATTAAAATTTCATTTTTGAAATATATTTCAGTAGCCTGTGTTTACAGTTCTACACTGTACCAATTGATTCAATTACCATAACACAACAGTGGACAAACTGTGTCTACTAACAACAAAGTAGACAACAACATAACCCAGCATACAGCTTTCACCAATCAATCATTTAACTATGCAAGAAGAATTCTTTTTTTACTCACCTAAAGTTTATTACAGGTGCTTGCTTTCTTTTCTTTCTTTTTTTTTCACTAGATTTCCATTATTTTTTTATTTTTTATTTACTTATTTTTAAGCCAGGGTCTCTAGCCCTGGTTGTCCCAGAACTCTGTGTAGTCCAGGTTGGCCTCAAACTCAGAGATCTTCCTGCTTTTGCCTCCAAAGTGTTGGGATTAAAGGCATGCCTGGCTACTTTTTTTAGTTTTTGAGATTATGATTTAATTATATCATTTTCCCATTTCCTCCTTCCAAACTTGCCCATAAATCCCTCCTTGCTCTCTTTTAAATTCATGGCCTCTTTTTTGTTATACATTGTTATATGTGTATACATATGTGTATATACAATCATATTCCTAAATACAGTCTGCTCAGTCTGTAAATGTTATTTCTGTGCCTATTTTCAGGGCTGACCAGTTGGTATTGGATATCTAATCGTTGCTGTGTTCCCCGAGGAAGACTGTTTCTACCACTCTCAGCACGCCATGGTTGTCTGTAGTTCCTTGTGTGGGGTTGAGGTCTGATCTTTCACCCATCCGTGTTGGCTTTTCTATTGTAGCTGTCCTTGTTCAGCTCATGTTTAAATAGTCATGTTGGTGAGACTTTATGGGTGTAGCTTCTAACATTATTAGGAGACAAATTCTCACAGAAAACTTCCTAGTCCTCTGGCTTTTACAACCCCCACCTCCCAACCCCTGCCCCCCAAATCCCTGCCTTCCACAATGTTCCCTGAGCCTTAGGTTCTGGGGATGTTTTGTAGATGAATCCACTGGGACTGGGTTCCATAAATCTGCTCTTTGACTGGTTGTGGTTTTCCGCAGTGATCTGTTTGTTGCAAAGGAAACTTTTCTTATTGAGGGATGAGGAACACACTAACCTGTGACTATAAGGACAAATATTTAGAATGAGTTGGGGATTATGCTGGTTGAGTAAAGTGGTGGTGGTGGGTTCTCCTCTGAGATCCATGACTTCACCAGCACTGAGTAGTTGGCTACATTTCCAGTACCAGGCCTGATTTCCTTCTTGTTGAGATGGTCTTGAGTCCAATTTTAGAGCTATTGGTACCCCCAGGTATACATGCCACAACTTCACTCTTATGGTTAGCATGCCATGCTGGTCATTGTAGCTCATAGACATCATAGCCAGCTAGGACTGTTGGTTGCTTCCCTCCTGTTAGAAGCTTACATGGCACCTTCTGGGTGCCTTGAAAGCTAGTCCTTAGGGAGGAGTCTTCAACCCATTCAATTTCAGGAGTCTCTGGGCCCTGAGTCTGAAGTACAACAATTTCCGTTAGTTTTTACAGATTATTCTAATTTTTATGGGTGTGTGTGTTTTGCATATGTCTCTGTGTACTGCATCCATACCTGGTGCCCATGGAGGCCAAAGAGAGCATCAGTTTCCCTAGAACTGGAGTTACAGGTTATAATCTACCATGTAGGTTCCAGGAATTAAATCTGGGCCCTCTGGAAGAATAGCCAGTGCTTTTAACCAATGAGCTCTATCTCCAGTCCCATTCATTCATTTTTGGTACTTAAAAATTACATTTTCCCACCACTGCATTTCTTTTTTTTTTTTTTTTTTTTTTTTTTTTTTTTTGGTTTTTCGAGACAGGGTTTCTCTGTGTAGCTTTGCGCCTTTCCTGGAATTCACTTGGTAGCCCAGGCTGGCCTCGAACTCACAGAGATCCGCCTGGCTCTGCCTCCCGAGTGCTGGGATTAAAGGCGTGCACCACCACCGCCCAGCTCACCACTGCATTTCTAATAGTATTGTTTAAAAAAATTTTTTAAGGTTATTTGGAAAATCCAAGAATTTGATCTTAAAGCAAAAAGTAAGAATTATAGAAAACAAACAAAACTCGCCAAACTTTTTAGTACTTTGAAATGGCATATTCTAATGCCTTTAAAAGAGGCACATTCACATTGTTGGACAGTGTGCTTAAGAAAGCTGCTATTTCTGTTTCTCAGACATATCCTTAAAATTATTAATTGCTTCATGAAAAAGTTGATTGGTGAATCCCAAAATTCAAGTATTATTCTAGAATGCTCATAAAAGAAACGTTCATTCTGATTTTTCACTACTCATTTTTAAAATCCTACACATTTTTTCTCATTGCTCATCATGTCAAAGTGTTTTAAATAATGCTTACGAGCAGTAGCTACCGAAAGATGTGGTTCAAAATTTTAGACTTGTTCTTAGACACCCCACATAGTTTAATCATACATTTTAAAAGTTGAAAGGAACCTCACAGATGGTCCTAGCTCATCCATCTCCTCAGCATCCATGACTGTTCCCTGTTTCTCACTAGATGTTCTGAAGCAGAAAACATGGCATATGAATTTCCAAGAACCTTCTTGTCTGTTTTGAATCTAGTCTTACTTCATACTGCTTCTGATTGCAGTTTGGAGTATAGACAACCAAAGGAATTTATCATCCGCCACCTCAGTAGCACAGATCCATTCACGTTTTGGACCTTGAAGAATGAATGCATTCTTGACATCTGTGGAAACATTTGAGATACATTATTTTTTTTATCTATTGAAAGTATACCGCTTACTGATTTTGACTGTATTTATAGTTACATAACTCACCATTGCCTGATTAAGGAACATCTTTCTTTTTACCTGCTTAGTTTACTTCACTTAAACATAATGTTCTCTGTGTTCATCAGTGATCTCACATATGGCAAGGTTTTCTTCATGGCTAAGCAATACTGCACTTGAGCTACACTAATGTTTAATTTTCAAAGGCAATAATCAAAAAATGTTTTAAGTTCAAAACTTGACTGGCTAATCTTAGAATTAGCCTATAGTCAAGAATTCGAAGTCAGTACAAATATACTTTAGAAGATTGTCTTCTAAGCAAAATTGAAACGTCATTAAAAATCCTATCTTTATCATTATTTGTCAGGTATTTTGAAGCCCAGATGATAGATAATGTGAAGCCCTGTAACCCCTTGTTTCAGTGCCTCTAGAAAGAACTGGAATCCGTAAAAGCTCTTTCCTGGTGGCTGTGGAGAGGCCAGACTTGGAATTGCCTTAGCATGAATGGCACAGCCAACTATGGTCTTGGTGCCTGTGCCCTTATGTAAGTGCAGCTGAAGATGGCAGTGGGAGGGAACTGAAGAAAAGAAAAGTGCCCGGTAGTAACCGTACTCAGTGGTTAAAGGCGGAGCAGACTCGGGAGTCAAAGACGTAAGTAAGGTCTTGGTTCCTGCTTTAAGCTGAGGGTCTGTCTACACACGGGGCAAGTATTGCAGTGAGAAATGTTACCTTCCAGTTACCTGTCCTGACAGAAATGTAGGAAAGAGACAGATCGTGTGACGCTTGAGAAATAGAGGAGGTACAGTATGCAACATTAAAAATAAGCACCACCCGTTTCAGTTGCGTTCTTTAATGACATACTGTTTTTATTGGAGTTGCAAACCGATGTTTAGTTACTAAGCACACTTTGTAAACACTGGCTCTTTTAGAGAGGAACTAGCTAACTGCTAATTTAAGGAAGAAAAGGACTCAAGTCTGGAATAACGACTTACTCCTAGCAGAATAGGAAAAATGATAGAGGGCAGGGACTGTAGCTCTGTGGGGTACTTGCTTAGCATGTATGAAGCTCTAGATTCTCTCTGCAGTAGTGCCACTAATGGGGAGGGAGGGAGGGAGGGAGGGAGGGAGGGAGG